ATTCCTGTACTCGTGTGCGCATGTGAGTGTGTGTTGATGCTGGTTTGTGATGGAGCCAGTGTTTCCTACCGTGGGTCATGGTCAACACAATGGGAGCATCTGCCCTGGTCTTCGCTGGCTCTGGAGGGTTTTCTAAGTCCCCATATTTCCGAGAATCTCCTTGGTGTGTGAGTGATGTGGGCCACATTGCTCCCTGGGGGATGGGCGGCAACTGGCAGGAACTCGTGGAATTGATGTCCTCACCAGACTCGCGGCCCTGCAGCCCAGTCTTAATTTGTTTAAAGAACGATGGAGTAGGCAGGTGAAAGACATCGATGCCCATAACAAGATTAAATTAGCGGGAGCTGGCAAGAAGGCATGCTCTGTTCTGAAAGTGAAAATAGAGAAATGAGGGAATATCAAATTAGTAAAATCGGAGGAGGGCGGTAATTGGAAAGAAGGTCCCAGCTGCAGGAAATCAGGGGCCTGTGGGAAGGCTGCTGTGGGAATATAATCAGGACATCACTGTTCGTGAAGGAGGGTCCCTCTAAGAAAATGCCCTATTTCATCAAGAAAGCATCTTGATAATGCATCTTGCTAATGGTTGAACTGAAAAAAAAAAAGAACAACAAAAAGAACCGCAAAACAGAACAAAAATGTGTTTTGTTTTCTTTCTTGTCCTAGAACTCTACCGACGAGCCTTCTGAGAAGGACGCCCTGCAGCCGGGCCGGAACCTGGTGGCGGCTGGCTATGCCCTCTATGGCAGTGCCACCATGCTGGTGCTGGCCATGGCCTGTGGGGTCAACTGCTTCATGCTGGACCCGGTGAGAGAGCCTGGGGGCAGGGGGTGGGGGGTTAGGTGCCTGGCCGATGGCTGTGTCAGATACGTGTGTTGGGCATGGACTGGGGTACATAGAGGGGGGGAGATGACGTCTGGAGGGACAGAGGTGGGTGGGGGCGAAGTGGAAGACCACATGTATGTTAGGAGAAGATTATTGAGGTGAGGATTAATGTCTGTCCAGAACATGAAAGAGGGCCTTTGTTCCAAGATGAAATCTTCGGAACAGACGTTATTCAACTGACTCCAAGGCCCATCTAGGCCGGGCAAGCCATGTGAATGAGTAGAGCGTGCTGCCAAGCCAGGCCAGGGGGTGGTGGGACTGTGGTGAACTGGACAGGTGTCGATGTTCAGGAAACACTATGCTGTGTGTTTTTAATGTGATGGTTCTGGATTTGTAAAACACCGTGCTAGCCAACTAAATGCATTCATGGACCAGATGGGGCCTGTGGATGGCCTGTTTACCACCACCCCCCCGCCGCCCCCCACTGTATTCATCACTAATGTCCTCAGTGAACGGTAGCCCACCTGAACGCATATGCTGTGCACTGGCAGACACACCTTTGGTAACCTCCGCAGTTCTGACAAGGCTCTGATGAACTCAAGGGCGTGAAAGTAAAGAAGGAAATGGAGATCAGTCGTTGGCCCACCTTATGGAGAACAGCTACCTTATGGAGAGAAGCCCAGGGTGCATGAACAATACTCATTGGCAGTTTTCATTTGTGGATAAGTCCTACGTATCTATTCATTGGGGTTATTTACCTATTGATTCAGCAGTCGCCAACCTTTCGGACCTCACGGACCACCAGTGGCCCGCGGACCACCAGTTGGCGACCGCTGATTTAGATGACAGTGTCAACAGAGCAGATGAATGAGGGAAAGAAATCTTTTCAAATATCTGGTGCCACGAAATCCACCACTGAATACACACCCCATAGGACAGTCTTTACTAGGTTGGCATGTTCATTGTGTGTTTGGCCCCGTGCCCCAAGGGTTTATAAACACCTTTTACTTTTAGAAATGTCCTTGGGTGACATTAATGACGCATGTTGTTTATTTGGTGCTTTTTGCTGACAAACCGAACACAAGGACGAGCAGCTGGCTGGGGTCCTGGGAGCGACGGGCTGCTCCTGGAGAGGCTGGGGTTGGTTTGCGGCAGGGCCGGTAAACCAGGGTGCGGGCGCCTTTGCCCCCTGCACTCTTGCACAACTGCACTTTGCCTCCTTGGAAGTGCCGGCGTTTAATAAATAAACAGGGGTGGGGGACAGCACTCGAGTAAGTCTCCAGCGAGGTGACCTGAGGGAAAACAGTGGCAGAACCAGAGCACAGTTCACTGGGAGCCGGGGCTGGGGCACAGCTTCTGAAATCACCGGTGTCTCAGCTCCCAGACACGTCCTGCCTCCTCATGGCCTCCCGGGCTGCCTGTTGCCTTTGCTGATGGATGCATCGAAAAAGTAAATCTCTTCTTGTTTCCAGATCGCAGGCGGTGTCTCTGGGAGTCAGTGTCTGTGTATTTGATGGTCCTTTGCCCTCCTCACACCCACTGGCCGCTCGGTGTTTGGAAGGACTGCCTGTCCCCTGCGGGCTGCCTCCCGGATCCGCGATCTGGCCAGCCCTCTGCTGGCGGACGCCTGTGGGCTGAGCCTCGGATCGTTTAGCCTTTCCTTTTCCTTTTGGCTTGCTGCACGCGCAGGCTGAGGGTTTCTGCTAAGAAGCTATGTTTGCATTTTCAGCTCGCCAGGCATTTAACGTTCAAAAAGCTTTTCCGTCTCTTGTCACGAGTGCAGGAGGCCTCCCTCCACACCTGCGCTGCGGGCGGTGTCTGCAAAGCATGGCTGTGTGAGCTGCGTGGCGCCTGCCATGCAACGGCTTCATTTTCCAGACTTTTTAACCTTTTTTTGTAAAGATATTTATTTATTTACTTAGTCTTCTGACCATAAAAATATTTCTACATATTTGTGGTCAGAATAGTTGGAAATATCAAAAAGCATAAAAGAAAATAGAACCACTCCCAGTGACAGCTTCCAGTGACCACTGTTAATACTCGCCTCTTTTCTCTCCTCTCCCTCACCCTTCCCTTCCCTCCTCCCTCTCTCTCTAGTCCCACGTGCTCCATACTGGCAGGAACCAGTCTTCACTGTGGGAATAAATGGCGGGAGAGATGTGTTGATGGGGCCTCCCTTCTTCTAACTCTTGCCTCCAGGGAGCAACCCCCTCCCCAGATGAGCAGCACCCTGATCACCTTCTCAGTGACACGCAGGAGCCCCAAGCAAGCCTCAGTCTAGAGCAGGGGTGGGCAAACTTTTTGACTCGAGGGCCACAATGGGTTCTTAAACTGGACCGGAGGGCCGGAACAGAAGCATGGATGGAGTGTTTGTGTGAACTAATATAAATTCAAAGTAAACATCATTACATAAAAGGGTACGGTCTTTTTTTTTTTTT